AATTTCTGGTTGTGGTTGGGAAAACCTGCTTGAGGATTCCTCAAGAGAGAATTGTCAGTTTGCTGTTATCCCTTCCCAGCTCCTCCCCTCCCCATAGTAGCTGTGACACATGTCACTGGGGAAGGAGAGGAGTGTACACACACACACACACACACACACACACACACACCCAAGGGAGGGGACTTAAGGGGATACTGAGATTAGTACCTGATTCATATATCAAAATCTAAGTTGCTTAGTAGCAACACAAAGAGTGTCATCCCACAAGAGTGACAAACAAAAGATGTCACCCTAACTAAAGGACCAGAAGGACGGGTCAGCTTAGAAAGACCCTTCCAAGAGAAGCCCCTGGATGCAGAGCTGACGTTGGCAGGTGGATGGAAGTTCTGGCAGGCAGACTCATGAGCAGCCAGGCCAGGGACCACCTCAAAAGTGCACTTGGAGAGACAGGGCCAGCAACCCCAGATGTGCCACTTCTGAAGCTCCTGGACCACATGACACCTGCCAGTCAAGGAGCATTTTCCTGCCCCTTCCTCCCTCTCTCCCCTTCCCCAATCCTGGAGGGGACAAAACCAGAAATGGGCTCAGGGAAGAAGGTGGAGCCAAGAAGAGGGATTGACATCAACTGTGCCACCTTTGGGGTATTTCTCTGCCTGAGATAGGTCTGAACTGGGGGAAAGGAGACATTTGATATTAGAATTTGAATATGCTTCCATTCACTTTCCCCAGGATTTCCTCCAGGGAAGGGCAGGAACAAGCCCATGAAAAGGAGCAGCCCTGAGAAAGAATGAAATTGCTCTCTGCTTGCACCCTCCTGAAAATCCAGTCTGGCCATGAAGGAGGTGACAGTACTAAGCTGGAAGGTTATAGGGAAAATATAGGAAAATGGTCAGGGCCCCACAGATGTTCAGAATCTTGCTGAGCATTTGATGTAAATATGCACATGCACCCAGGTGTTCCTTGGTTATTGTCTAATGTAATTGTGCATGTGCACCCAGGTGTCCTGGGTTATGGACTTAAGTATAAAGGACAAGTGGCTCTGACTCACAGGGCCCCCCCAGCCCCAGGATGCCCTGGGGGGTCCACAGGGAGGCTGCTACTGCTGCTGGAGGCTGTTGCTGCCAGTGCCCCTGGGATGCCCCAAGTAGGCCATGGCTGCTGCTACTGCTAAGGACTGAGCTCATGTAGTTTGCCAGTGGATGCCGGGATCTTTCCCAATTACCTAGCATGGGCCTGGCATGTGAAGGGTCTGGTGACCCAGCCTGTACAATGTGTTTGAAGGGTCTGTGGGCCCTAACCCCTAGCCCAGACAATACAGATGGAAGTAATGAAACATTTTGGCTTTAGTTATGAATTGCCTAACCATACAATTGGCGTAGCAATGGCCCTAACCTGATAAGTGGCATAGTCGTGTAGCTTTACAATTGACTGCGTCAGAAGGAGTCCAACAATAACCCCAACGAGACAATTAGCATAGCTATTGCTGTAGCTCGACAACTGGAGGGTGCACTGGGTGAGGGCAGCAAAGGCAGGGAACTCGAGAGGCCACTGCCTCACAGAGGAAGCAGGCTGGCCCTCCCTGGACAATCCTTCCCATGACCCATCACCCTACAGACCTACTGGATTGCTAGGGTTAGGGCTCACAGACCCTTCAAGCCCATTGTACAGACTGGGTCACGGACGCCTCACATGCCAGGCTGGGTCACCAGACCCCTCACATGCAGGTCCATGAGCTAGGTAAATGAGAAAGATCCCAGGAGCTGTTGGCAGATGACACAAGCTCAGTCCTCAGCTTCCTTAGCAGCAGCAGCAGCAGCTTGCAGATCTGGTGGTGGTGGCCTCTTGGGGCAGCCTGGGGGCTCTGGCAGCAACAGCCTCCAGCAGCGGTTGCAGCCTCCCTATGGACTCCCCACCCCAGGGCATCCCAGGGGTGGGGAGCACTGTGGGTCAGAGCCATTCATCCTTATTTTTTTATTTTATTTTTTAAAAGATGACTGATAAGGGGATCTTAACCCCTGAGTTGGTGTTGGCAGCACTACTTTCTCCTAAGTGAGCTAACCGGCCATCCCTTCACAGGGATCCGAACCTGTGGCCTTGGTGCTATCAGCACCACACTCTCCCAAGTGAGGCACGGGCCGGCCCTGAGCCATTAGTCCTTTATACTTAAGTCCGATAACCCAGGACACCTGGGTGAGAGTCAGACAACCCAGAAATACCTAGGTGCCCACGCACATCCTCAGACAATACCCAAGGAACACCTGGGAGCATGTGCACAGTTACATATTTACATCAAATGCTTGGCAAGATTCCGAACATCCAAACATCCGAGGGAACCCTGACCATTTTCCTGTATTTTCCCTACGCGGATGGACCACTCTTCCTGCACAGTACCCGGGGCCCTGCCAACGGCAGCCCTCACTGGTTCCAGAACACCTCCGAGCTATCCCCTGGCTCCATGCTTCCTCTGCCATCCACGCTCCACCCTTCCTCTCTACTCAATTACTAGTAGTGTTTGAAAAGTATAAATAGCCAAAGCCTCGCTTAAAAACCCACACTTCCTCTTGCAATTTACAACAAAACCCAAGCTTTATACCTTGACACACAGAGCCCTCAAGCTCCAGCCTGCCTCCTCGCCACTCTTCCCTCACTCGCTGGGCTCCAGCCACACTGGCAGCTTCCTTCTTCCCAGCTCTAAGGACACTACGCAGCGTTGTCCCCTCTGCATGGACGGAGGGCGGCCAGGTCCTCACATGCAACTTCTTTAAGCCTTCAGGCTTCAGCTGAAATGCCACCGCCTCCAGGAGGCCCTCCTTGGCTACGCAGCATGCCTCTCCCCCATGAGGCTCCTAAGTCTTTTCATAGCACAGATCCCTCCCTCGAGCGTCCTCTATTCTCCTTTCTCTCCAGGCTGTAACTTCCCCAAGGGCAGCAGCACAGGGACACACAAGAGTGGCTGAAAACACAAGAGANGACAATACAGATGGAAGTAATGAAACATTTTGGCTTTAGTTATGAATTGCCTAACCATACAATTGGCGTAGCAATGGCCCTAACCTGATAAGTGGCATAGTCGTGTAGCTTTACAATTGACTGCGTCAGAAGGAGTCCAACAATAACCCCAACGAGACAATTAGCATAGCTATTGCTGTAGCTCGACAACTGGAGGGTGCACTGGGTGAGGGCAGCAAAGGCAGGGAACTCGAGAGGCCACTGCCTCACAGAGGAAGCAGGCTGGCCCTCCCTGGACAATCCTTCCCATGACCCATCACCCTACAGACCTACTGGATTGCTAGGGTTAGGGCTCACAGACCCTTCAAGCCCATTGTACAGACTGGGTCACGGACGCCTCACATGCCAGGCTGGGTCACCAGACCCCTCACATGCAGGTCCATGAGCTAGGTAAATGAGAAAGATCCCAGGAGCTGTTGGCAGATGACACAAGCTCAGTCCTCAGCTTCCTTAGCAGCAGCAGCAGCAGCTTGCAGATCTGGTGGTGGTGGCCTCTTGGGGCAGCCTGGGGGCTCTGGCAGCAACAGCCTCCAGCAGCGGTTGCAGCCTCCCTATGGACTCCCCACCCCAGGGCATCCCAGGGGTGGGGAGCACTGTGGGTCAGAGCCATTCATCCTTATTTTTTTATTTTATTTTTTAAAAGATGACTGATAAGGGGATCTTAACCCCTGAGTTGGTGTTGGCAGCACTACTTTCTCCTAAGTGAGCTAACCGGCCATCCCTTCACAGGGATCCGAACCTGTGGCCTTGGTGCTATCAGCACCACACTCTCCCAAGTGAGGCACGGGCCGGCCCTGAGCCATTAGTCCTTTATACTTAAGTCCGATAACCCAGGACACCTGGGTGAGAGTCAGACAACCCAGAAATACCTAGGTGCCCACGCACATCCTCAGACAATACCCAAGGAACACCTGGGAGCATGTGCACAGTTACATATTTACATCAAATGCTTGGCAAGATTCCGAACATCCAAACATCCGAGGGAACCCTGACCATTTTCCTGTATTTTCCCTACGCGGATGGACCACTCTTCCTGCACAGTACCCGGGGCCCTGCCAACGGCAGCCCTCACTGGTTCCAGAACACCTCCGAGCTATCCCCTGGCTCCATGCTTCCTCTGCCATCCACGCTCCACCCTTCCTCTCTACTCAATTACTAGTAGTGTTTGAAAAGTATAAATAGCCAAAGCCTCGCTTAAAAACCCACACTTCCTCTTGCAATTTACAACAAAACCCAAGCTTTATACCTTGACACACAGAGCCCTCAAGCTCCAGCCTGCCTCCTCGCCACTCTTCCCTCATTCGCTGGGCTCCAGCCACACTGGCAGCTTCCTTCTTCCCAGCTCTAAGGACACTACGCAGCGTTGTCCCCTCTGCATGGACTTTATACCTTGACACACAGAGCCCTCAAGCTCCAGCCTGCCTCCTCGCCACTCTTCCCTCACTCGCTGGGCTCCAGCCACACTGGCAGCTTCCTTCTTCCCAGCTCTAAGGACACTACGCAGCGTTGTCCCCTCTGCATGGACGGAGGTCTGCATGGACGGAGGGCGGCCAGGTCCTCACATGCAACTTCTTTAAGCCTTCAGGCTTCAGCTGAAATGCCACCGCCTCCAGGAGGCCCTCCTTGGCTACGCAGCATGCCTCTCCCCCATGAGGCTCCTAAGTCTTTTCATAGCACAGATCCCACCCTCGAGCGTCCTCTATTCTCCTTTCTCTCCAGGCTGTAACTTCCCCAAGGGCAGCAGCACAGGGACACACAAGAGTGGCTGAAAACACAAGAGAGTAAAAGAAGGGGGAAAAAAATAAACGAATGAAAGAATGGTTGGCAAGATCTCAAGGGAACCGGTATTGTTTTGTAGTTTATTTTTAAACCCCCTTTGAAAGTAGGCACGAGCGGACGTTCCAAATCAAGGCCTAGTACCTCCCGCCAGCAGGGGGCGTCCGAGTTCGTCCCGCTCCGCGCCTCGCCACGCCCCTCTCCCGCCTCTACTTCCTCTTGGGAGGAGCTGAGGGCCCGGCATTTCCGGGAACGCCGCGTGGTGTTGGCCGCTAGTGCGCTTTTGGCATGGCGTCTTTTGATGTCCCAGCCGGGCCGCTCCTGTCGCTGAACCCTCAGGAAGACACCAGGTTTCAGGAGGAGGTGGCGCACGTTCGCCGGCGCATAAACCGGACTGCAAAGGTGAGCGGCCGCCGCGGCCCGGACTGCGAAGGTGGCGGCAGACCCGGTCTGGGGGAGTCTCCGGGATCGCGCGGTTCCTGGCACGGGTGCGCCTTGGCCTCCCCACGCCTCTACTACCCACAGGGAGTCCCAGCATGGGCGCCAGACAGAATTAGGGGCCGATCTCATGAGCCTGGAGGCCAGAGTTTACGCTGGTCGGGAAGTAATGGTGGGGTTTGGCCGCTTAGGCCTTAGGGTCGTCATTACGGAAGATAACGGAGAGCTATTGAGACGCAAGAGGAGAAAAAAAGAACCAGCTGGAGGTAATGGCACTGCCATACCGTACATTATCCCCAAGTTAGAGCTGTCACGCTTCCGCTTTGCCTCCAGAAATGGGGGCCCCAGACTTACCTCACCATTCGGGACGTTTGTATGCCTGGTTGGTGATTTTGGAGTTCTTAAGAGATATTTGCTAAGTTCCGTTTGCTGACTAGGGCCCCTGACATCAAGTTTATGTTTTCTTTGGTTTTTAACATAAAATAAACTGTGGAAAACTTGAAAGTTCTTGTTACAGAAAGTAAGGGTATGATGACTGAGACGCTGAAAGGTTAATCTGCATTGCGAAGGTTAACAAGCTAATTAAAAATTCTTCAATTAAGTGTGAGTAAACAGTGATCTGCATACAAAACTGAATGGTACATTTATGTGGAGTTCTCTGGACAGAAGATATAAAATAACACGTTCAAAGATTTAGTTGCTTATCTGTTGATGTCACCGTGAAATTACTGAGCACTTACATTGTGCTGGGTGATGGAATGCAAGGCTGAGAAGATAATCGACTGCTTGATGATTGTCCTTGTGGGGAAACAGTCGTCGAACAGCTCCTTTAAGTATTACTGTGATAAGTGTAAATACTGGATAGGTTCTTGGACGGAGGGCTAGAGATTTTACAAGTCTTAATGCAATGTGATTTTCTTATTTAAAAATATTTGTTTACCTCATCTTTATGTCCTCAGCGACAAGAGCAAGAAAAACTTAAACCTGGAGTAATCTATGTGGGCCACCTACCCTACGCACTTTATGAAACCCAGATCCGAGCATATTTCTCCCAGTTTGGCACTGTTACAAGACTCAGACTGTCCAGAAGTAAGAGGGTAAGTTTTCTGTAGTTGAATTTGATTGTTTTGTTTTTCAAATGTATCTATCATCCTTGACAGTTTACAGAGTGTGTTTACATATAATTGCTTATCAAACTTCAGAAAGGGGAGTGGGGTGAAGTTTAGAATCTGAAATATTCCCAAGAGCAAAATCTGTTTGACATTGTCCCCAAATCCTCAAATTAAATCGACAGTCGGGGTAAATGAAGTATATTTATCCTGTGGCTACTAAGCCCAGGGGTAAATGAACTTCAGTTTGATGATCAGGTTCACTCATCTTCTTGTATTAAACTCTAGTACCAGCATCTTTATAATAGCAAAGGTTTGTACAGCAAATAGTTAAGGATAAAGGCTTTGGAGCCAGACTACATAGGTTTGAGGCCTGGCTCTTCAACTTACTAGTTGTATGATCTTGGACAGTTTCTATAACCTCTCCATGCTTCAGTTTTGTGATTTGTAAAATAAGGTTTATGTGGTTTGTTTTCAGTAATGAGGAGTGGCCCACTTTATTACCCCCCTCATACATAAAACTTTGTCGCTTTTTCTTGGTGCGGTTTTCCACATTTTCCCACTTGGGTTATGGTAGATCAAAGTTAAATTTTATATTTGATTTAGTATATGAGGGGATAGGGTATGCATCCATCATCTGCTAGTGGTCATAAAACTACAGGTTTTAAATTTTATGTTGTCAAAACAACATCTCAGCAACATTAAAGGGAATTTAAATTTTTATTTTATTTTTTGGCCGCTGGCCAGTACAAGAATCCAAACACTTGATTATTGTATTACAACCAACTCTAATGGTGCTCTAACCAACTAAACTAACCGGCCAGTGCCCTTAAAATTTTAAATGCCGATATTTCTTCCTTCTTGACCAAAATAATATATTTTCTCTGTATTTACCTCCACTCCCTTTTTGCCCTATTTTTCTACTTGTTGCTGTTTCTGTGTATTAGATATCCCAAACATCTTGAAGTCTACTAGAGAATAATTTAGTGAATACCCAGGTGTCTACCATTCAGCTTTATCAAATGGTAACTTGATAATCATATTTGCTTCAGATCCTTCTTAAGAAGTAGACTGTGAGGGGTATTCAGAAAGTAAGTACCCTCATATAGGTAGACTTGAGGTCCTTTTTATACCTTATCTCAATCCTGTTCACCTTCTACCTATGCCCAGGGAATTACTATTAACGAATCCAATGTTTTTTATTGCTATATATGTTTTCAAATCTTTACTAAGTTTATATATCAATATATGTTATATAGTATTGTTTGTTTTGAAACTATATTATGTATTATTTTCATAATTTTGCAACTTAATTTTTCATTCATTAATCTGTTTTCAGCTTTATCCATGTAACTAGTGCATTCATTGTCATTGCTATGTTCCTTTACTTGGATAAGTACAGTTTATCCACCCTCCTATTGAACATTAGGTCTTTTACAATTTTTCAGTCTCTAGGTGAAGTTACTGGAAACATTCTTTGTGCAGGTGTAGGCATATTTTTCTAGAATAGTATTTTTCAGACTGTGGCCCACAATAAGTAAGGGGTAAGAAGTAAGTTTTACAGCATAAACCAGCACACGTACCCATGTATGTAAACATAAATGAAGTAAAAGTCACATCAGACAATATTTAAGCCTTGTTTTGTGCGATACACTGATTTTCTATTCCATTTTATTCCAATTATTTTTATTTTTACTTTTTTTCTTGAAGCTAGCCAGTATGGGGATATTCAGTTTTTAAAAAAATACCTTTCTAACCTACCTACTAAATTGATTTTATTACCCACTTAAAAGGTCAAACTCTAAGTTTGAAAAAAACTGCTTCATTCTTGGTGAGATTGAGTGTCATGCTTATTAGCCATTGGAAGTCCCTCTTCTGTAAGTTGCCTATTCATATCTTTTGCTCTTTCTTATTGTTTGTCCTACACAAAAATTTTCTGCCTCTTGTGGCAACTTATTTTGTAAATATTTTTCCGTATTGCAATATAGTCATTATCCCCCTGGCTTTGTATTTTGAATTCAAGTCTACAGAGAAGTACAAAGAATAGTGTAGTGAACATTGTTACAACCCTCACCTGGATTGATCTATTACAATATTAA